CCCCCACCGCGCCCTCCTGCCTCCGCTCTCCCATTTACATCCCGGGTCTATACCCGTGTCATAAAAGCACAAACAACACTTCCAGGAGCGTGTGCGAGAAAATGAGGCATCTGGGTCATCGTTGCCGTGAAGGCAATCAGAATGTCGTTGCTGTGCGGTGGGGGAGGCCACCCCTGTGGCCTGTGGGGACGTTTTAATGTAGGTGTCCGGGACACTGTCGGGTCTGACGTCAGGCCAACGTCAGGGCGCAGGGCCGAGGGCCGAGGGTGGCCGGTGCGTGCAGCGAGCGCCAGGGCCGCAGGGACCAGAGAGACGCGGGGCTGACCGCTGACCGCCACGGCCTTGGCGCTCGGACTTGGGCGTTCTTCGTAGGGCGGGGGCCGCTCCGGGCCGCTCCGGGCCGGCTCTGCGGAGGGTTGCAGGAGGGTGCGGGGCGAGGTGAGCGAAGGTTGGGAGGGAGTAGCCGGCGCCCCGCCCCGCTCCTTGCAACGTCATTATACAGCCCGACGCGGCTATTCTTGCTCACGGGCGCTAGGGGGCGGCGATGGCCCGGGGCCCGCAGCAGGGCCGGCCGGCGGCGGTGGAGGTTGGAGGTACTGGACAGCAGCGCCGGCCCCCGGCTGTGGTGTGGGGGAGGCCGGGCGAGGCGAGGCCTGCGAACCGCCGCGCTCCGGTATGGCAAGCTGCTGCTATACGGCCGGAGTAGGTGTAGGGGGCGGATAGCAACGTTCGTCGGCTAGCCTAGCCTCGCCGCCAACGTCGCGTCCAAAACAATTGCTGTATGCTTGTTTGGCCCCGCAATGTTGTATCGAGCCATACACCACCCGCCCCACCGGAGCAATCAGCGCGGGGCATCTCTCAGGCGGCGCCGGGCTACCCCCCCCCCCCTCAACATGCTGCCGGCCCCCGGGCCCCGGGTGCTACCCTTCCACCGCGCGACTCCACCCTTAGGCCGGGTCCGAGGCAGGTGGCAGCAGGCTAGGCTGCTGCCACCTGGGCTCCCGTCTCCTACTGCTCCTACCCTGCCGGGTTACATCGCCTTCTCCAACGACACAACCTCTGGCCGCGTCATTGCCTGCTACCGCCTCACCGCCTTCCCCTGCCCGCGCCCCCGCAGTGAGAGGGGGGGGGGGGCAGCGCTGACCTTTGCGCGGAAACTGCCGCTAGCCCAGTACCCTTTTGGGACCCTTCTTTGCCAGGGCCTCGTATGCCCCCTCCCCCTCACTTCCCTCCGGCCCTTAACTACGATATACTTGCGCCGGCGCGGGGACAATGTACAACACCTTGGGCACCTCGGGTGATTAAGGACATCGCGCGACCACGTCGCTTCGCACCCTTTTCATTGTCCGCCCAATGTCCTTCCCTTCCGCCCATCACCATGGATTGCACTCTCTTAGTCAGGTGACCTCTCCCCCTTCTGGGGGCTGCGGATACACCCGTAATCGCCGTGGTGGTGGTGGTCGCGGCGAACCGTGCGGGCCTGACCGACTGACACGTAAAGGACGCAGGGCGGCGGACATCGCGAGTGGCATTGTGTGCTCACGCCGCTTGGCTCTCCAGCGGTGCACCAGTCCATCGTGAGCTGCCGTATGAGTACCTATGAGTCTTTGGAGTCACCGTCCCTCGCGGTAAGAATCAATTTCGCGATAGAAATTACAGTATAATCTACAATTTACTAAACACCAGGCTGGCTCCCTTGTTGTCCCCCAAACTATGCGCATCACCATCACCAGTGCCGACGACCGACACCGGTCAGTAGTCTGCGAGGTCCGCGCCGGACTCGCTCCATGCCCGCGTCGCGATCCGGAGCAGGGACGCTGCGGGGAGGGGAGGGGCGCGAGGGGCGGGGCGGGGCGGTGCATCGCTCCAGAGGATCGCCCTTGGCGGCCTGTGTGTGTGCCTCCGTGACTCCCACGTCCTGTCCAGTTCGCTCCAGTCCCGTCCCAGAGATGAGCCAGCAGGCCGCTGGACTGGAGCTTGTCCGCGCTGTCCGCTCCGCACGCATTACGTACTCCACAGTACAATAGAGCGGGCGGGCCGCGGTTTACGATGCGGACGCGCGCCAAGTGTGTTCGGTCCGGCCGCCGCCGGCGCAGCTGAGGATGAGCTTTGAGCGACCGGCACGACCGCGTTTATAGTGCGGTGGCCAAAGTGGGGCCCCGCCCGCGACAGTCGCACACGCCATAGAGCACCACGGCGGCTTGGACACGAAAAGTCCGCAGGACGTGTTTCTCGAGATGAGCGGAGGAAGTCTCTGCTCTGTTCGGGTGTACAGCCAGAGCCACAGGCTCGCTCAGCTGACGGCTCGCTGCTCGTGCCAGAGCGGGCGCAGCGCAGACTCCCCCGACCGGACCGGTCTGGTCCAGCTGGGTCCCAACAGGGAGGAGGAGGACCCCGCCGCACCCCGCAGGACCGGCCGGTCCCGTGCGCCCGGCGACAAGGCCCGCGCCATGGGGTTATGCC